AAACACCGCAGAGCAAACGACAAGCAAAAATGCAATGTTTTGCGAAGAAGCCGTGTAGAATTTTTTTTTTTTTTTTTTTTTTCCCCAGAGAGGCCGGAACCCTCCTCGCCGTGGCATACTAACATAGGAACGCAAATCAAACATTTAAAAAAAGCAAGATTTCTGGTTTTTCTGACTTCCTTTTTTGACCTTGATACTTTACTTCAAAGTTGCCTTTTGGGACATTCATACCATACTTGTACACATATCATTCTTCGCCTGCTTGACAGAGGAGTTTATTTCAGGGCGCTGCATTATCAAAATAACAAGACATGGACTGAGATAAGAAGCATCTTGAATGAGTTATAGGTAATATTAGGAATACAGGAAGAGTACTCGCCGTATCGGCCACGTGTAGTGCCAGAGCGAGCAGGGTTCGCGCTGGGGGCTCATCTCGGGACTTCGGACTCGGGAAGTGCGAGCGAAAGGAATGCTGGCGATCGTGCATCCCTAACCCTTTATAGCTACTACACAAACAGGCATTCGCATCGTTGGCTCGCCTTCTGAGTTGCTCCTAATTTGGGTAGTTTTGTGAAGAAGTCCACCGCCGACTGTAAAGAAACAACAGCACCAATCAGAAAGCTAAGGAAGAGGAAGGACGCTTTCGGCATGGTGACTTGCCAGAACCTGCGAAAGTAGACTCAACAATTCAATTACCCTTTCTTGGTCCGATTGGTGTGTTTTCGGTCCAAGGCCCGGTGGATTCTGCAATATGCCATTAGGAGCAATGAGGAGGGAGTCAGCAGCGAACCGTTATTTCTTCACAGATTATCTGTCTCATGTCCTACTGTCAGGATATAGTGAAAGTTACAGTAAATATAACAAAAAGTATTTTTTATAAAAGTTACCTACTGCAGCTTTAATAAAAGGATCAAATGAACTGAACTATTCAATATTTATTATATATATATAATTTTTGAAATCTATAAAATGTGGTAAACACCAATCTTCAACAGTTCCAAAGATAAGTACAGCAAAAAGAGCAAATTCTCATGCTTTGAGAAGGACATGGAGTCCTCAGTAGTTGGGTTGGGTCAAATGAAAACGATACATTTCCCCACAGGGTTAAATTACTTAATTAACTTTAATATTACTGTTAACAAACACTAATGGAAGAACCACCATCTTTCTAATTATATGGCAAATACGACGTTCTATCATTTAGTCCACAGAGGATACTATCTTCTTCAGAGTCATGTAACGAAGGCTCTGGAGATTAAAAGATTTGCTGATGAAAGCTCAAACACAATATCCTCTATCATTGTCAAAGTGAGAGAAATGCAAGGCAAAGGCCGCGACAAGCCCAAGCACCGCACGCGCTACTGCGAGTGCAAGGGTGCGCGGCCCGTCTTTCCATCTTCTTCTTAGTAACTTAATCTGATTTAGTAGGAAATTTAATCTATGCATTAAAACTGAACAGACAGGTACCAACCTGCCCTTGTATCATAGAAGAGGGCATCAATGTGGAGGGCTTCTTCATTGCTCTCTACGGCTCTGTGTTGGCTAGGCTTCCAGTTAGACACATCTTCTCTCCTGAGGTGGAGGTACTGATTTAAGGCAACATTTCTACTCTCCAAATCAAGCTACAGATGACGGGGTTAGGGTTAATTGAGATTACGCCAGTGTTATACCTAAGCTGCCTAATATACAAACAGTGTCTGAATCGTTTTCTTAGTCCTGAAATCCACAATCCCACACCGTAGAGTTCAGAAATCAAAGCCCCCTTTTACACATTCAGAAGTACTTTTCATGTCAAATAAACAGAAGCATTAAATTATCTATATTTTGTCTAATCTTGCCAATGTAATGAAGCCCATTAATGCTCATATCATCTCAGTACTATAAATCACCATCAGTGGCTGTAGTTGGGCCAGAAACTGACTTGTTACCCGCTCGGCATCTTGTAGTGGCCCCGTGCCAGTGAGAGAGACATTTTCTGTTGGACCTAACATAGCACCCTGGCACGCTACGTCAATAACAACACTCCAACATGATTCATCACCAGTACAACGATAATCCCCAGCGTGATCTCTCTGATTACTTCCATTCACGTTTCAGTTTGTTTTCATGATAACTGTCTGGTGTTTTTTTCTATTTTGCTGTGACATATAAAATAGCCTGTGTGAATCAAAATAAAAGACCATACAGTGACATTAAAACAAACTGCATTCAAAGGAAACCACAACTTGCGACCCATTTTCACATTTCAGCACGGTTTCACAAAACAGCCTGTGCTATAAAGATCCCCATTCAATACACACAGCAGACTGACTGTGCACACACTAACACATCAGCACACTGTAACTCAGCCTGCTGCTTGGCTGGCCAATTATTGCAGCAACCCTCAACCTGTTGCTATAGAAGCACCTTGTTTGTGAGCAAGTGATCGAACACAGCTCGAGATTAAAGGCAGCAGCTCAGAGCCAGAGACATATTCCATATGATCAAGAAGGACTCCGTGGAAATATCATGTCATTATATCAACTTAAATGTCCCTTTATAAATAAAAGCTCACTGTGAGCTAATAATGCCATTTTGGAATGCACCAGGCACTTTATTTTTCTCAAGGATCGCTATGGTGAGATTACATTAGAGGATATCTTGCTAACAAGATTTGTTAAGCCTACCTCGAGTTTCTCTTCTTTATTTTGGGCTCTCCATTGTTCGAGACTCAATTTGGTTTCTCTCCATTATTTCGAAAGGTACAACAAGTGCCAGACACCTCAATTAACGCTACCATTCCTCCCTGTCTGCTAGGAAACAACAAACACTTGTTGACTGTAGTTGCTCTCTACACTGTAGTGTGCATTGTAAAGAGCGCAGAGAGGAGGATGTAACGTTACAACGCCAATTCAATTAGGTGCTAATTCTAATTTCGTTTGATAGAAAGGAGCTGTTTAAACTAGCTAAACCTTCGAGAACGCAGTCCAGAAAACTAAGTGCCAATATTTGTTGACAAATGATATTTTCACAGGACAACAACTTTACTAAAGAAAGCCTTAAAGCAGTGTTGGAAACTTTTTGTGGCTGGTGTTGACACTGTCTATTTACCACAGCTTCGGTGGTTTTTGGGGGGCTTCATATAACTACAGCAGCACAGACAGAGCCAAAGTGAAATGCGACGGCTAATCCTCTCGTAGACAGATGAGATAAGAAGTGGGACACGGAGTTTGTAACGGGCGGCTGTCTTACCGTATTTGTTGGGCTCTCGGTTGTACTCTAGGATAGGCACCACAACGCTGAGGTCCTGCGGCTCGAACACGGAGCCCTCCCCCGCCTCTTTCTCCTCCACTGTGCTACCACCATCGCCGCCGCCGCCGCTGCTGCTGCTGCTGCCGCCGGGGTCCGGTGCCGGGTCAGATACAACCGCGTCCGATTGCTCCCCCACCCCGGCGACCCCAACTTGCCCGTCAACCGGGACTACCACAAATCTTTCGCCCATGTCCCTCCTTCTTCTCCCCTCTTGTCGCACTTTCTCTGGAGGAAACACGCACCGCCCGGCTCACTGCGGCTCTATGAGAGCGACCACACAGGACAGCGTACAGAGGGACACACGCTCGCGGGTTGATCAGAGGATTGATTACAGTACAGACGTGACCCGCCCATGGTCTGCGCTCATTAGTTGAGAGAGCCAAGGAGCGCCGTCAATCACCGCCGTAAGCAAATCAGAGTTGATGATATTTGTTATGGAACGAGCGAGTTCCGAAATTTGGATTCATTTAACTCCGAAATGTAATTGCCCTGTAATTTATGACAACATAAGTCCACCTCGTCAATAAAATAAACAATAAATACATCGAATTTTAGCTATCCATTCCAAAAGCAATGAATATATATAATGTCATGATAAATAAAATTCCTAATACTGTTTTAGCAAAATAGCCAATATGTCATTCGTGTACACTTTTTGTTTAAATTCTGAAGTATATCCGAAATATATTTCTTGTAGCTTTATGCCTATAGATTGAGGCAGGCAAAGCAAAACAATGCAGCTAAAGAGAATACTCCTGATAATAGTGCATGTGAGACAGTGCCCTGCTATCACAATGGAGCACATGTACTGGCATGTCACACTAAACTCATTACAAGCTTCTTTAATGGTCTCAAAATGACGGGGAAATTAACACTCACTCTGTACATCCTCCACTATCAATAGCCTCCCATAGAAAGACAGTAAATCATTCTAATTGAACAAGCAGTGATGGTTTAGTCATTTGCCAACACCTCGCCATAATAACTTTGGTATGTTACAGCTTAGAATAAATGGTTCGTCAATACCTCAGGATAGGATGACCTCTCGTGTTTCCAGGCAATTTTTCATACATAGTCTGCAGTGACAGGTCTTAAAACTTCCTGTTGCCCAAAGGACAACATTTTAGTTTTTGCCATTTGACACCCATGCAATTTACAGGGCACTCCTGTACACAACAGCATGTCTCTTGCATTAAAGTGTTTTCTTTCACCATAATATCCGCTTTGAATTTGGTGGCTTTGAATCAAGTTTTTATCTCTGTCTGTTTCAGAGAAAACACATGATCATCTGGTGCTGGAAATCCCAGATCAAAATCACCACCCCAATTTAATTAATTGTTCCTTGGTCAAGGACCCATCTGTTCACCAAATTCATCCATTCACACGTCACTCTGGCCTTCACAGAGATTACATAACCAGCAGCCTTGTAAAAAAAAAGCAACAGGTTGTTTCAGTGAACAACACACCATAACAAAACAGTTAATGAAGCATGGAACTCTCAGGCCAGTAGGTCAGACCTTTGGTGGCTGTATTTCCTGGAAGACACACCCCTGGCAATGGTATCAGGGTAAATACAAATATGGTTTAGCATAAATGCCACTGGCTTTTTAGACACAACAGTTGTTTTTGAGACAGTAAAACAGCCCACACAAATGCAATCTACACATTAGTGAGAAAAAGCAATAAATGATTGAATGAATACTGTTGAAGTGACATTCACTGAAGGATTCCTTTACCAAGCCTAGAAAGCTTAAAGTGTGGCACCTGCAGAGTCAGAATGTGACAGATAGCTGGCTCGTAAGTATCATGGATGGATTACTGAACAGGCCTACCAGGTAGAGGCCCAGGGCCCCTGGACCAAATAGACAAACCACAAACACCACTTTTCCACCAAATTAGCCCTGGTTCTCAAACCTTGCAAGTTTTGGGGTTCTGGACTTATTTAATTCGGTCGCTCTAAACAGTTCCAAACTAGTTGTCTGAATCAGAACAGAGCCGGTTCCTTGTTGGTTTTGGCCCATCTTGGGCTGTAAAGAAATTGGTTTGGAACCTGAAAAATAGCAGGTTTTCCTTGGAAACCACCGTGGGTGTGTGATATTCTACAGGTCGGTGTGCATTGTGAGATTGATGAGATCAAAACTGGTGGAAACACAGTCTGGTTCGTTAGATAGCACCAAGGTTCCAAGAATCTTGAAAAGAACCAATTCAAGAACCAGAACTAATTTGGTGGAATAACACTAAAAGAGACACAACATGGACATAAATACATGTAAAACAACTACAAAGAGATGCAAGAATTGTTTGTAGTTGTTTTGTGTCACTTTCAATCAAGGTGTCTTGCTCCTATGTTTGTTTCCTATGATTAACCCATCATAAGTGTTAGGAGCAGTGGTCAGCCACTGTACAGCACCCGGGGGGACCAAGTCCAGATCTAAGCCAGTGGCCAAGCTTTGTTCAAGAGTACTGACTGCAGAAATGAACATACATGTTTTGATGGTGGAGGAAACCAGAGCACCTGGAGGGGATTCCCTACCAGCAGGGAATCAAAGTCAGGACATTCTTGCTGTGAGGCAAAATTCCTAGCCACTGAGCCACCATGCTGCCTGTCTATGTCCAGGGGTCCATCCATGGATGTAGGCTATTTTGAGTTACAAATACCAGCTATTTATAGATATAGTTTCGTATTAGAATATTTAAAGGTGGTTATTTGGCATAGCATTACTAATAAACAATGTAACCCTCCATTCACACATTTCTAAACCCACCCCTGCTTATTGTGTATGTGCCCTGTGTAATAGACTGTGGCCCCAGTCATTTCCTATTCAAGCATCTCAGCTTGCACATAAATCATGTCAAATAGTCTGCCATTTACTTTCCAGTTATCCAAAACTACTGAGGAGAGAATATTTTGGATGAACTCCAGGAGACCACTCAGACAGTAATTGCTTGAGGGTATTATGTTGTCATCTAAAATAGACAGCTGGCAGGACAGTTGGATGACCGAAGGTTGGAGGGGTCACTGGGGGTGGAGTGGTGGGGTTGTGGGTAGCTGTGTTAAATAGTTAATATCAGATCAGTTCAGGGAAGTCACTGGAATGTGCTTCACAACACAAAAATAGAGTTTACAAATGTCATTACAAATTGAGTTATGTTATTATGTGTATGATGTATTTTTATGCTTCTTTGTGTCTGACTGGATGAATGTATGAAAGGTGGACGCAGTGCGAGACTTAAATACAGGGCCGGTAAAGTAACTTGTAATCCTCCATGTCCATGTTGTTAACTCATCCGCAGTTAAACTCATCACCTTAGTTCAAAATGACTTGCAGCATGGAGAAAATGAAGTGCAGATTACTTTTTTAAGCTGGGTGAGAACAGATGTGGCCTTCACAGCACAGACACAGCTGCAAGTGTTCAGGGTGACAAATGTCAGCGTTTGTCTTTATGCCATCCTCATCTTTGCCTTTAGTCAGATTGATCACGGAGATCAGATTCTACAAAGAAAAGGTGACAGGTTTTTTCTGTCATTGTAGCTGACATTTGTGTTCTGTAATCCTTTTAAAAAGCATTGGGATATTTAACTGATTTCTTACAGTAAATGAAAGGCTTGGCCTGATGTGATTAAATCATTCATTTATTTATGATTCTCTTATATAGAGTATGAATGTGTAAAGGGGAAAAGTAACTAGGGATTACACTTATGAACTGTAGAAACATGGTGATAGAACAACAGCTGTAGAAGAGGACCTGTTCCCTCTGTAGATAAAAACAACTCAACAATTCTTTTAGAGTATTTTTGGGGGTTTTTATTGATAGTGACAGCTGAAGATAGACAGGAAAGGGGGGCAGAGAGAGAGGATGACACGCAGCAAAGGGCCGCAGGTCGGATTCGAACCCTGG